GAAATCTGTTTGCATCTGTTTTATGGATTCCATTTGTTTCCTATGTTGGGATTCTATCATGTTCCTCAGCTCCTCTATTTTTTTTTTTGTCTGTGTTCTCTCTAGATCTATTAATCATGTCTTGCACTATGGGCACAATCTCTGCTATTATGTGAGAAATTATTTCTGATTTCACTTTTTCTAGATCCTCTTTTGTTGCTAGTTCAGGGAGTCCAGGTGGTTGAGTATCAGAGTGCTCCTTCTCGTTTCCCTTTGGGGTTGCTGTAGGTGATTTGGAAGCCTGGTTCTGAGGCTTGTTTACGTGTCTTCTCATTTTGACGGGGGTGGGCTGGGGTGGGAGGGGGGTGGGGGTGCTGCTGGTGCCCACATGGCCCACTCCTCTGTTCTGGGAGTGAAAGTAGGTTGGCCCGGAAGCCTCCTCCTCTGTGCTGGGAGCTGTACCCCTATAAATTTCCTTCTTAGAAGTGTCTTCATTGTGTCCCATTGGTTCTCGTATATTGTACTGGCATTATCATTTGATTCTAGGAACTGTTTAATATGTTCCTTGATTTCTGTGACTCATTGATTACTCAGGAGTGTATTATTTAACATGTTCATGATGGGGCTATAATTCACATATCTCATTGCCTGGCTGCTTTGATTTGAATTTGATCATCCCACCAACTTAAACTACCAGTGGTACATTCATGCCTGTCACACTGGGGACTAAAATTAGTAAAAAGGTCTATAAATGGATCAAATCTAGTTAGTTGTTTGAATTTGAATAACTACTGCCCAAATATAAATATTAATATTACCAATTTAAAAATTATTATAATAATCTATAATTTATTTCATTAAATTAAAAGAATCATCCATTTTCTGTTTGATACTTTAATGAGAAAAATTTTACAAAATTGAAATACTCTTAAAATTGAAAAATGAATAGATTATAAAAGACATACTTGTGTACAAAAATTATATGTTACTAACAAACAAAAATCCCAAATAAAAAAGAGAAGAACCACCAAAGAACAACAAAAGAACCATGAAAGAAAAATTTACATTGACTTTAATAGTAATCCAGGTATGGAATAACAATGACTGTTTTTGTCTTAGTGTTTTTTATTAAGAAAAACTTTAAAATGGTATAAAAATTTTAATACAGCTAGTTTGTGGTATATTAGTTGTAAATGTTTATTACATGCACCAGCAATGGAGTATTGTAAGATTTCCATGTTAAAACTAAGCGAATTAATTATTGATAAACCCATGAAGAAATTAACCCATGAAGAAATGCCACAGGTGCTAATTACAGTGGGCTCTTGACTTATAAACTCAATTTGTTCATGAGGGCTGGTTGTAACTCAAGTTGGTTGTAAGTCAAGACTATTTTCCCATAAGAAATAATGGAAATACCCATATGCTTTCTGAACCTCTTAAGTACCCCTTAACTAACCTTTTCATAATAAAAGAGTTGTATAATGTGCATAATTTACCAGAAACACTAATAATTTTCCTAGTGTATTCACTAAAAAGTTCTAAAATGTGCCTATTTTACCAGAAATAATTTCATACTGTATGCACCACTAAAGTTGACATCTTTGACTTGCAGGAAGGAAGGATCAAATGGAAGTTGGTTATTGTTTGGAAGGAGAGTTCCCTTCCATAAGAACATCAGGAATCTGACTCTCTAGTTTTCTTTCTCTCCATGGGAGAGCCTGTAGCACACCAGGACCTGCTTCTGGCTCACTAGGTCTAAACATTTTCAGAACTAAAAACTGGTCTGAGGTTGTCTGTTTCTGTCTTTTCTTTAACACTGCTCTGTAGTATGACATGACATTGTCATTAAGTGAATGCAACTATTGGCTTTTTCTCTCTATAGATGAGTCTTCTCCACAAATGCTTGTAACTCTATCCATTCTTTTAAGGATTTCCTTTGTTTCAGAAGAAGAACTTCGCTGCACTGGTTGTTGAAACTCCCCCTCCCCTTCAGAAAGCTCCTTAGCTGCCATTCTCTGTTGCTCAGCCAGAAGTTACTGAAGTTCCTAAAGTTGCTGAAGTAGATAATTCTTCTGAGTGTTCCTCCACCAGTTCTTCAACATCACAACTGTCTACCAGCAAGCCTATGGACTCTGCCACAGTGACAGTGTCATCAACCACAGGGTCAATTAAGGGCTCAGGCTCCTCTACACAGCCTTCTTTCAAAGTTTCTCTCCTGTATAATTTTAGGCCACACTTTCTTCCAGGCAGATCTCAGAGTCCTTAGAGAGACATTGGCCTAGGGTTTCTTAATTAACCCCACACAGGAGAGACCAGCATTCAGGTCAACTCAAGACTTTGGTCATAACTTAAAACTAAAATTCTGGTCATAACCCAAGTTGTTCACATGTGAGACCAGTCATAACTGGAAGGTCCACTGCACTCCAGAAAAAAATTCACGCTATAGAAGCTTATTTAGGATCAGCAAGAAATGCACATAAGCAATGCAGAGAATGTTATCCAAAATTATTAGAAAAAATGGGTGTTACATGACTGCAAAAAAAGCCAAATGTGTTATGATATTTTGTGCACTCTGCACAAATCAGCCACATTTATGTATAAAATGTCTTAAAGAAATTTATGAATACAAGTAAATTTCTTTTAGTTTAATGAAATAAATTTGTTGCTTATTGTAATAATTTTCAATTGGTATTATTTGGGCGGTAATTATTTGACTTCAGGAAACTAATTAGATTTGGTTCATTTAGAATTTTTCCATTTTTACTAGTATAACGATGGATAAATATGATTAGATCCACTTGTGTGGTACAAGCCACCTGAGGGGATAGTCATATATATGACTATGAGATATATATATGTGTATATATATATATGTATATATATATATCTCAAATATATCCTCGAATACAGGTACAGCTATGATTAGGATAGTAATAAATTTAAATTTAAAACATGAAGCAATAGCCTAAATTCTACGTCCAACTAGCTGCCAGTTTTTTTTAAGAAAACTAGACAGGATTGAAACCTTGTCTGGCTACAGTTTTTCTTACATTCTTGGTTGTGTTATTTATAGTTTTTGGCCTCTCCAGCTACTCAGGTGTAACTGATATAGAACACTTTTTAAAATTACCCTCGGCCTTTCTTTTGCTACATATAACCCTTTTTAATCTTCACTTGATTTTAGCCAAAAGGCTGAGAAACATTGCTCCCTTTTAATCTTGAGGAGAGATAATACACTGCATAGACTTGAATAACTTAAGATACTTCAGGCCTGGGGTGTAGCGCAGTGGCAGAGTGCTTACCTACCATGTGTGAGACCCTGGATTCAATCCCCAACATCACACAGACACACACACACACACACACACACACACACTCACACACACTAAACTAATATGGTTCATAGTTTTTGTTCAAGGTCATTTCTTAGTGTTGGGTAGTAAGTGTTGGAGGAACTTCTTTAGGCTTTTGTTGTCTGAAATGGTCACCACAAGCTATGTGTGGTGTAGAGGACTGAATGTGGCCAGTCCAAATTCAGATGTGCCCTACATATGAAGTGCACACCAGACAAGGAAGGCTTACTTCAAAACCAAAAATGTAAAAATGTTTATTAATTTTAGGGGGTGAAGATCAGTGGCAGAATGTTGACATAACACATGGGAAGACCTTGGTTCAATCTCTGACCCCAGAATTTAAAAAAAATTATATATTAAAGTGATGCGGGTTGGGGATTTAGCTCAATGGTGCCACACCTGCCTCACAAGTGCAAGGTCCTGAGTTCAATCCCTAGTACCGGGGTGGCAGGGGGGTGGGGGGGTGGATAAATAAAGTGATACTACTTGGGATATATTGGGTTAAGTAAAATATTTTATGAAAATTAATTCCACGTATTTTTTAAAAATACGGCTACTAGAAAATCTAACATTACCTCCAAGGACCCCAAGCTCTATTTCTGTGGGACAGCATTGCCTTAGCTGCATCCTGACAAGTGGCTGGAGTGCCAGCCAGTCTTTCTTCATCCCCGCCCCTGACAGCCTCTCCCCTCTGCTTTCAGTTGACATGGCAGGTGCCTCCAGGATTGGAATGGCAGTGGACCTATTGGAGGAAAAGGTTAACAACCTCCAGAAATCTAGGCTAAAGGTCAGTGTCCTTGGCAGAGAGGAGCTTTTGAGAAGATGATGGCTTTTGGGATGCTGGGGGCTGACCCCTATACCCTATAACCCTCCAGAGACAACATCTGTTCTGTGGCTGAGGGGAAGACTAGAGAAGTGAATCGGACAGCCTGAGACAGATGGGGCTGGTACAGGGTCCTAGGGGGTGAGTGACTGCATGATTTCCTCTAATGGGCATCTCAAGTAGCTATTAAGGTGGCAAGTTGGAGTGCACAAGTCTGGCACCTTCTTGACCTCAGTCCCCTTCTTGCCATGCCAATCTCAGGAGCAGAGGCCTCAGATGTCTGTGTCTTCCCCCTTAGGAAAAAGAACTGGAGAGAGTTTGGGATACCCAACTAGAGACAATGAAGAATTACTACATAGTGCTCGATAGGGCAGTAGAAAAGATCCAGACTCGCCTGGATAACTTAAAGGTTTGGAGGCCTGGGCCGTCTGGGACGGGCAAATGTTTTCCAGAACAGGGCTGGGAGGTTGCACTGACAGTTGAGGAACCAGAGGACATTTTACTTTGTGTAAATTACATTTCAATTAAAAACAAGCATTTCACTCCCTCCTGAGGTCATCATACAATGTAATCAGGCTGGGATGTGCAGAGGATAATTTTAAAGGGAAAAGAACTCTTAAAGGAGGAACCAATTTGTAGGTTCAGTTGTGGGCACGGAAGGGAAAGTTTGCTCTCTTTGGCAGAATGGGGACATGTCGGGGTGGAGGATATGTGGGGCTGTATTCTCAGACCTTTATGAGCCCCTTTGTCCCCTCCCAACTCTGGGCTCTACCTCCAGTAATTGTTACTGTGGCACCTGCCTCGCAAGTGCAAGGTCCCGAGTTCAATCCCTGGTACCACAAAAAAAAAATTGTTACTGTGAAGCATCTCAAATAGTCAGGCATGGTGGTGCATGTGTATAATCCAAGCACTCTGGGAGGCTGAAGCAGGAGAATCTCAGGTTGGAGCCTGGCCTGGCCAACTTATCAAGACCTTGTCTCAAAATTTAAAAAATCTTGGGCCAGGGATTTAACTCAGTGGTTCCGGCGCCTGCCATGCAAGTCCCGAGTTCGATCTCCGGTACCAAAAAAAAAAAAAAAAAAATTAAAAAGTCTAGGGATGCATGGGCTGGGGATTTAGCTCAGAGGCACTTCCCTTGCAAGTGCAAGGTCCTGAGTTTGATCCCCAGTACTAAAAAAAAACCCAAAAAAAAAGGGGCCAGGGATTTAGCTCAGTGGTTTCACTGCCTGCTGCGCAAGCGCAAGGACCCAAGTTCAATCCCCCGGTACCAAAAAAAAAAAAAAAAAAGTCTAGGGATGAAGCTCAGTGTGAAGGCCCTGGGTTCAATCCCAGTACTGGCCCCGGCGTGGTGGCACATGTCTGTAATACTAGTACTTGAGGCTGAGGCAGGAGAATCATCGTGATTTCAAGGCCAGTCTAGGCTATACAGGGAGTTCAAGGCCAGCCTGGACCACATAGTGAGACTCTGTCTCAAAAAACAAAATGACAACAATAACAAAAATCCTAGCCATGCATTCTTGCTCATGCCTGTAATCCCAGCACTTGGGAGGCTGAGGCAGGAGGATCACTGGGAGTTCTACATAGTGAGTTCAGGATCAACCTGGGCTACATAGTGAGTTCAGGACCAGCCTGAACTACAAACCGAGACCCTGTCTCAAAAAACAAAACAAAACAAAAAAAAGTCCAGTGCTGGCAAACAACAACAACAAGATTGAATTGCTTTTTTTATTGGTTTTTTTTTTTTGGTACCGGGGATTGAACTTGGGTCCTTGCACTTGCTGGGCAGGCAGGAGAACCACTGAGCTAAATCCCCAGCCCAAGATTGAATTGTTTGTAAAAGTTAACCTGCCAGGCACTGTGGCTCACACCCATAATCTCAGCACTCTGGGAGGTTGAGGCAGAAGGATTAAAGTTTGACCCCATCCTGGGCAACTTAGTGAGAGACTGTTTCAAAATAAAAATAAATTTTTGAAGGGCTGTGAATATAGCTCAGTGGTAGAGTGCTTTCCTAGAACAAGTTCAATCCCCAGTACCACAGGAAAAAAAAGTCCTGAAAGAATTTGGAAAAGGGCTTTGTATACAACACATAATTAATTAAATGAATTGTAAATGAATATATGCTGCAAGGGAGGAGCAACGCTGCTCTCTAGCAGAGCCCCAAAGGAGGCTGTGGTTCTGCTGAAGCATCTGAATCCATGACGAAACACAACTGTCATTGCCTTACCTTAGTGTCTGTGTGGAAAAGCTAGGAACATAACAGGTATTGTATGAAATCCTCCCAGTCATTCATCAACTCATTTAGCAAATGTTACTGAGTATTCACTTTGCACCAAGCCTCTCTAGAGACTGGTAATACAGCCACCAACAACACAGACACCACCCAGGTCCTTCTGTTTGTGTGTAGGGTGGTGGCAGATGTTTGTTTTTAGCTGAACTATGATTTACATGCAGTAAATGCCCATGGCTGAAGTATAAGAACTCAGTTAATTCTTAACTGTATGCTCATGTGACCACCCTCCAGTCAAGATGAGATAGTTCCATTCCCTTAGAAAATTAAAAAAAAAAAATTTCCCTTTTCCAGGAAATACTACTGTCCAGAGGTAGCCAGTGTTCTGTCTTGTTACCCTAGATTAATGATGCCTGTTTTAAGCTCACATATATGGGATTATACAGTGTGTGTTTATGACTGTGCTCTGCTGGGGTATATGGGGAGGTTGTCTTTGTAGAGAAAAAACCTTTATAAACCACTTGGGATAGAAAGATGAGACCTTGCAGCTGGTCACAAGTTACTAAGAGTGTCAGCTCAGAGCAGGTAGATACCCATATAAAAAGGAATGAACCTTGACTTCTACTGCACTCCATACCTAAGATTACTAAAGATGGAGCTCAAACATAAATATTAGTGCTAAAACTATAATGCTTCTGCAAGAAAACACAGGAGAATATCTTTATAAACTTGAGTTAGGTAAAATTTCTTAGGACACAAATGTTGAGTTCTAGTTAATGGTGCATGTTAAACATTTAAAGTGAAGTTCACTGGTGTCAAATACACACTTAAAGTGCATTTTTTAAAAGATCAAGAGATGGAGAAAGGAATGGGAAAATAGATGTAGATAACAGGGCAAATACAGGGAAATGTTAACTGTAATAAAAATGAACATACCCTATACAGCTATGTCACTTTTTCTGGGTGTTTCAAAGTTTACACAGTAAAATGTTGGGAGAATCTTAAGAAGACACTATTGGAAGAATGAAAAGGCCAGGGATTTAGCTCAGTGATGCCGCCTGCCCACAAGTGCAAGGTCCCAAGTTCAATCCCCAATACCAAAAAAAAAAAAAAAAATGAAACTATATGAGCTAGAGTATAGCTCCTTGGAAGAAAGCTTGCCTAGTGTGTATGAGGTTTGATCCCATATAGAGAGAGATGGAGAGGGAGAGGGAGAAGGAAAGAGAGAGGGGAAGAAGAAGGAGGAGGAGGAGAAAAAAGGAGGAAGAGATAAAAGAAAATGGGATATCACAGGACTAAGGGAAAATATTTGGAATATATCTGACAAAGGACTGGCTTTAAAACCATAATAAAGCCAGGTATGGCAGTGCGTGCCTGTAATTCCAACTACTCAGGAGACTGAGTCAGGAGGATCTTGAGTTCAGGGTCAGCCTGGGCAACATTGCAGCAACCTGTCTCAAAAAAAAAATTACTATTTAATACTCACAAGAATAGATAAAGCAAAACTGACCAACAATAACAAATGTTGACAAGAATATGGAGCAGCTGAAACTCTTTTTTTTTGGTACCGGGGATCGAACTTGGACCCTTGCGCTTGTGAGGCAGGCAGCAGAACCACTGAGCTAAATCCCCGGCCCCTGAAACTCTTATTCATTGTTGGTGGGAGTGAAAAAATAGCACATCACTTTACAAAGTGTTTGGTAGTTTTCATAAGTGAACTATACACTAACTATGATCCAGCAATTACTCAAAAGAAATGAAAGTTCCAGGTATTCCATGGACTTGTACAGAAATGTCCATAGCAGCAGCATTTGTAATAATCAAAACACTAGAAACTACCCAAATGTCCATTAACAGACAAATAGATGAAAAAACTATGTCACATCAATACAGTGGAACATTACTGAACAACCAATAGAAGTGAACAACCAGTGTGTACAACAATATGGGTGAATCTCAGAAATGTTATGTTTGGGCTGGGGATTTAGCTCAGTGGCACCGCACCTGCCTCACACACACAAGGACCTGAGTTTGATCCCTGATTTAAAAAAAAAAAAAGTTATGTTGAAGCTGGATACAGTGGCACACATCTGTAATTTTAGCTATTCAGGAGGCTGAGGGAGGAAGATTTTGAGTTCAAGTCTAGCCTGGGAAACTTAGTGAGACTGTGTCTCAAAATTTTTTTTTTTTGTACCGGGGATCAAACTCGGGTCCTTGCGCTTGTGCAGCAGGCAGCAAAACCACTGAGCTAAATCCCCAGCCCTGTGTCTCAAAATTTTTTTTAAAATTTAAAGGCTGAGGCTGTAACTCAGTGATGATGCACTTATCTCACAGGAACATGGCCTTAAGTTCCATCCCTAATACCACATACAAAAACACACAAAAAAAGTTACCTTGAGTAGAGGGAACCAGGCAGACAAGAGCACATACCATTTACATGAAGTCCGAGAACAGGCAAATCTAAGTTTTGGAGCTAGCAATTAGAACAGGGGTTGCCTCTAGGCTTTTTTTTTTTTTTTTATGAATAGGAATGTCCACATGCCTGTAATTATAGCTACTCAGGAAGCTGAGGCAGGAGGATTGTAAGTCCTCCTTGCCTAGGCTAGCCTGGGCAATTTAGAAAGATTCTGCCTCAAAATACAATAAAAAATAAAAAGGACTGGGGTGTGGCTCAGTGTTAGAGTGCTTGTCTAGCATATGTGAGGCCCTGGGCTCAATCACTACTATGGGGGAGTGGGGTAGGAACGTCTAACTCATAATATTAAAGCTTTTGCCCTATGTGGCACCGTCTTTTTGGACGCAACCACCTGAATTTGTGTTTGCTTTGGGGTTAGTCTCTGGGTGGGTGGGTACCCAGATGAAGAAAATGAGGAGCCACAAATACAGAGAGGGGCATCAGAGCACAGGTGACCATAGGACCTCAAAATTCCTCTAAACCTTGAAGAGGGTTTTGGACATCCCCCAGGCATGGACTGATGGTGTGAACTGAGCTTATCTCCATTTCTAGATGTTCACACACCCCTGTGGGCATATTTCTCTGTACAAGAATCAAGCTGAGAGACATGTCCCTGGCGATTTTCACCAAATGCCATCAACTCCCCGTCTGCTGCCCTCTGCTCCAGTCCTTCCCTGCAAACTAGTGAATGCCAGTATGAATTGGGGCTTGTCCAGGAAGCTGCACAACCAGTAGGCAGCTGCTGATGTTATCTTGAGAATTGGCTACAAGTCCTCCCTACCACATTGTAGACTTGAACAAAGCATTCATTCCTACTCTGCGCTCTGCCAGTGACAAGAAAGCTGACTGTTTGAAGAAGCTCTCCATCCCTGGAGAAAATTCTGTCTGTCCCAGTGGAACAGATGGCACCTTTTCTGTGCTGTTCTCCATCATTGCAGAGAAGAACAGCTGTTTAATAGTCCAGCTACGGGCCGGGGATTTAGCTCAGTTGTTTCACTGCCTGCTGTGCAAGCACAAGGACCCGAGTTCAATCCCCGGTACCAAAAAAACAAAAACAGAAACAAACTAATCTTTGGGCCAGGGATTTAGCTTAGTGGTTCCGCCGCCTGCCTCGCAAGCAGAAGGACCTGAGTTCGATCCCCGGTACCAAAAAAAAAAAAAATTCCAGCCACTTAGAGACGTATCAGAGCCCTTGAAACTGTGTGGTCCCCTCCCACACCGAATAGGACTGATCTGTGTGACCAATAGGATATTGCAGAAATGATATGTGACCTCAGAAGCAGCCTTGAAAGATACAGCAGCCCCTGCCCTGCTCCCTCTTGGATCACACACTCTGTGAAATGAGACATGGTGTTTAGAGGATAGTCAAGTAGCCCTGTGGAGACATGCAGCAGGGGGACAGAGTCCTCCCATGAGGATCCCACACAGACATGTTAGCCCTGCAAGTTGAGCCTGTGGAAATCAGGTGCCGCCCCAGGCAAGCTGTCAGACAACTAGTCACAGCTGGCATACTGACTGCAGCCTCGAAGAAAGCTTGCGCCAGAGCTGCTGGCTAAGCTGCCCCTGAATCCTTGGGCAACAAAAACAGTTTGAGACAGTAATTGTTGTTTTGAGCCACTGGGTTTGGAGGTAATTTGCTACCCAGCAATAGATAACTAATACAGTTTCAGCGTAGCAGTAAGCACGGTTCAAGAGTCTGGGAGATGTTAAGCCAGGCGACACTGACGCTGTGTTAGGATGCCTTGACTCTAGTTAACACAAAGGTCGATGGAAATTGCTTTAAACCATAAAGAAAATAGTTTATTTTATATAAGAAGTCTGGACGTAGCGTGCAGTAGCTCAGTGATATTGTCAGGGGTCACTGCAGATAAAGAGCCATTGAGAAATTATTAAATCTTCAATCTAGGTTAGTGTATACCTAACATGGTCTCAATATATGTATTAAAAAGAAAAATTGAGGGCTGGGGATTTAGCTCAGTGGTTTCGCCGCCTACTGCATAAGTGCAAGGACTCGAGTTCGATCTCCGGTACCAAAAAAAAAAAAAAAGAAAAATTGGTCTGGGGATTTAGCTCAGTGGTTTGGTCTCCTGCCTCGCAAGCACAAGGTCCTGAGTTTGATCCCCAGTACCAAAAAAAAAAAAAAAAGAAAGAAAGAAAAAAGAAAAATGACAGAATACAAGAGACAAATCAGGTGTGGTAGTGCACTCCTTAATCCCAGCCCTCTGAAAAGCTGAGGCAGGAAGATTGCAAGTTTTGAGCCCAGCATGGACAATTTGGGGAGACTTCGTCTCAAACAAATGAATGAATGAACAAAATAAATAAATAAAAAAGGCTCATTAGGGCCGGAGATTTAGCTCAGTGGCACCACGCCTGTCTTAAAAGCACAAGGTCCTGAGTTCGATCCCTGGTACCACAAAAAAAGCGTGTGGGGGGTGCTCATTATGTAGTTCAGAGTAAAGGCCCTAGGTTCAATCCGTAGTACTACAAAGAAAAGAAGGAGAGAAAAGTGAAGAGGCTAGGTCTGGTGGCACATGCCTGTAATCCCAGCACTCAGGAGACTGAGGCAGGAGGATCACCTCAAATTCAAGGCCAGCCTGGGCTACAGAGTGAGACACTGTCTCAAAAAAATAATTTTTCTTTTTTTTTTGGAATGGGGATCGAATGCAGGACCTTGTGCTTGCAAGGCAGGCTCAGTGCTGCTGAGCTAAATCCCCGGCAAAAAAAGAACAAATTTAATCTGATGAATGCATCTGTAACACTGCAGAATAGCCTTTTTTCTCAAGCACATACAAGAAAGTTTTGAAAATTGATCACAAACTAGGGCACAAAGCAAGTCTCAACAAGTTTCAGCGATTTGGTATACCATAGAAACCACATACGGGGCCGGGGATTTAGCTCAGTGGTTCCGGTGCCTGCCTCGCAAGCGCAAGGTCCCTAGGTCAATCCTCGGTACTGAAAAAAAAAAAAGAAACCACATACTTTGACCACAATACAATTAATTTATAAATAATTACAAAAAAAGACCGAAAAAAACCTGTATATTTGGAAATGAAATAACTCATGAATCAAAGAAGTACTTGTGAAACCCAGAAAATATATAGCTGTGACTAGGGATAAAATACTCTATATCAAAACTTATGAGATGAAGCAAAAGTGATACTGAGAGGGAAGTACATAATCTTAAATGCTTACAGTTAATGAAGAAAAGGACACCAGCTTAGACTAATGAAGGCTTAACCTTCTGGGGTGGAGGAAAGCAACTTGGTGAGAACCTGTATCAAATAAAATTTAAAAAGCCCGCAGAATATAGCTCAGTGATAAAGCTCTTGTCTTAGCATTCATGAGGCCCTGGGCTCATCCTCAGTACAAAAAAAGAAAAAATAAGTTGGTTATTGGTTAACAACAAGGAAGTCTAGGATGCAAACTTCTCCCCCAGAAGCACTGAGAACAAAGTTGTCCATAAATTCCCCTACCACATCAGACCTTGAGGGCAACTGATATAATCTGTGATGTGGAGTGTTTGAGATGGACCAGCATGGATGTCACATATATGCCTTCCTGGACAGTGACATAACAGACCTGCTGAGTTGTGCATGTCAGTGGTGTGGTAGAGAAGACCCTGAGACATAGTCATGATCTCTTGCTCCATTCTGCACTTGTCACTAGATGTACAATGTAAGTCACTTTATTGCTCTTAATTCAGTCTCTTTTTCTCCTCCTCCTCTTCCTTTTTTCTTTTTTTCTTTTTTGTTTTTGTTTTTGAGACAGGGTTTTGCTATGTGGCTCAGGATGACCTTGAACTCACTAATATAGCCTAGGCTGGCCATGAATTTTTGGTGATCCTCTTGCCTCAGCCTCCGTAGTGCTAGGATTACAGGCATGTGTCACTATGTCTAGCTTAACTCAGCTTTTTCATCTGTGAAATGATGCTATTTTTGTCATCTTAAGGGCTACTATTGGACCCAGTGTTTTTTGTAATTCAGATGGTTGTCCTAATATCATTTATGGGTCATTCATACTCCTACAACAGCTATCTGCTAAATTCTAAATTCCTACCAATGGTCTTTCTCTCTTATTGATCTGCTTATTCCTACATTAGTTCTGCATTATTATTATTTTTCCTGGTACCAGGGTATTATTTTTTTTTTGAGACAATGTCTCATTATGTAACTCAGCGTGCCTTGAACTACGTAGCCCAGGCTGGCCTGAAATTCCCAGTGATCCTCCTGCCTCAGCCTTCCTAGTGCAGGGATTACAGGCATGTGCCACCACACCAGGCTCTTTTCTTTTTTAATAGTTATTGTATAAAACTGTGTTGTTCAAAATCATAATATTAAAAAGCAAAGACAAGTGAGAATTTCTCCCTCACTCCTTTCCTTGGCAGAAGAAACCAATGCTGTTATTATTATGTGATTTCGTTCAGAGATATTTTATATACATATATTCTCACATATATTTGTTTTCTCTTTTTTTTTTTTCCCAGACAGGGTCTTACTATGTTGTCAGGCTGGCCTTGAACTCACAGCAATCCTCCTGCCTCAGCCTCCCAAGTGCTGGGATTATAGGCATGTGCCACCATGCCCAGCCCTCACATATATTTATAGATGTGCATATATTCTTACATATAATCTTTCCCTTTTTCCTACAAATAGTAGCAAATGTGTGTAATTTCTTTTTTCTGTATTGGGAGGGAGTCCAGGGCACTCTCCTAACCTGCTAGGGAAGTACTCTACTACTGTGCTACATCCCCAGCCCTAGAAACAAATATAAGTCTTCTCAGTCTACATTTTTCTTATTTCTATTTTTTAAAATTTCCTTATCACTAATGCAGATACATTTGGATTTGAATCCCAGTTCTGCCATTTACTGGGTTTATCAGTTTCCTATGGCTGCTGTAATAAATTGTCATAAACTGGGTGTCTTAAAACAACAGAAATGCTCAGTTAATGATAGACTGGAGTTCTCACTGGGACCTCATTACAGATCAGATGAGGTAAACTGGACTTAAAATCTAAGGGGCCAAATCATCACCAATGGTTTATGCTTCCTTTGGGTCTGCCTCCTGGAGCAGGAAAGTTCTGCTGTCACTTCCAAGGGGACCAAAGTCTCACATTCCTTCCCTTTGCTCTGGGCACCTGGAGCCTGTAAGCCAGAGCCTTCTAATGCACCCACCTGCATTCTGTCCATCTTCCTGTGGTCCCCTCCTGGCATGGGACAAGGGTAGAGGCAGGAAGTTGACACTATCCTCAAGGCTGTGAGAATGGCTGACATGCTTTTGGTTCTTCTGTGCTTAGATTCTCCAGGCTCAAATCAAATTCCTGGAGCAGAGCAAGGTGAATAAAAGCACCATGGAGCAGGAACTGAAAGAAGTGAGTGAGCTGAGGGGCCTGTGCCTCCCCTTCCCCTGTCCTGAGCCCCAGCTATCCCACTCAGGGAAATGGGATCACCAGGCAAAGCCAGCCAGCGAGCATCCCAGAATTGCTTCTTTCCATACAGAGAGACAAGAGAAGCTTCTCAAAAGTTGTCCCATCCACTCCTATGTTCAACAGCATTCTGTTATGTGAACTTAAAAATCAGGCACCAACTGCCCTGTCATAGGAAAACCTAAGCTTAGATCCTATAGTTGTTTTTGAGTCAGGGTAGACTGGAAAGTTGAATTTAAACCAAGGCTAGACATCAGTGCCTCTAACTAGAAAAAAATGACCAAAAGGATTGGAACATATGCCAGCTTGGTCCTGCTCCCACCCTAGCATCCCTGACCCCTGAACTCCCTATCTCTCCAGAAAGCCAACAGAAGTGCACTGGCAGGCAAGGCCGGCAGGGCTGACCTGGAGACCGTGGCAATGGAGCTGAACACCATGATCTAGGGCATGCTGTTGAAGGTCTCAACCCATGAGGATGACTGGAAGAAGTCTGTAAAGCAGCTGAGGAAGGACATGGGCACCAAGGTACATACGCCTGTATGAGTTATCTTTTGCTGTATGACAAATTACCCCAGAACTTAGCAGCTATAAACAGCAAATGATATTTCCAGAAGCAGTCATTTGGGAGCAGCTTAGCTGGGTGGCTCAGGGTCTCTTACGAGGTCACAGCAAAGGTATCATCTGGGGCTTTATCATCTGGCTTGACTGGGGCTCTTAAGAAGGGCCACCTCGAAGATGTGTGGCCACCTCAGCCATGCATAGTAGTGCATCTCTATAATCCTAGCTACTCAGAAGACTGAGGCAGGAGAACTGCAAGTTCAAGGTAAGCCCTGAGAAACTTAAAGAAACCCTGTCTCAAAATAAAAAAATTTTTTTAGGGCTGGGGATTTAGCTCAGTGGTTCTGCTGCCTGCCTCACAAGCTGAAGGTCCCGAGTTCGATCCGTAGTACAAAAAAAAAATTTTTTTTTTAAGGGCTGAGGATATGGCACAGTGATAGAGTGCTTGCCTAGCGTGTGTGAAGCCCTGGATTCAATTCACAATAAAAAAGAAGTAGAAGTAGAAGGCGGGTAGGAAGAGGGAGGAGGAGGAAGGATGAATCCTCATACAGTGATTGGTGTAGGGAACAAGGAAAGGGGACGTTACTAGAACCCCTGCAGTAAATCCTAGTCTTCCTGCAAGCCACAGCAGCACAAGGCAAATTAACTTATTATACAGGAAAGGTAGAAAAAATGAGACTTTGAGAAGAAGTTGAGCTCTGGGCCTGATCAGTGCTGCTCTGGGCAGCAAAGATGAAAGCCCCCAGTTTACCGCACCTTTTATTCAGTACATCAGGAGAAACAGATGTAACAAATGACTTGTGCAGAGTTCAGTACATTGGTGTAAACAAGATGTAACAATCCAAGAACAATGAGGAACTGAGTAGATGAAGATTTTGTTCCTCCCAGGATGTCTTCCCCTGGTGTAATCTTGTCCTGGAGAATCACAGGATCACAGGATCATTGAGGTCTCAGTTGTGACTGGGGGCCAAAATGGAATTATGTCTCAGAATTCCATAGCTGGGCTGTGGGCAGGAGAACTAGACCTAATCAAATGATTTTTCCCTAAAATTATGTAGCATTGCTCCCAACAGATTGGCAAGACTTTTCAGTTCAGTCCACATGAACTCTTTCTCAAGGCCACTTGAGTAGTAACATACCCCAAAGTGAGGGCCCAGGACAGCAAGAAAGAATCTATGGGGCCAGGGATTTAGCTCAGTGGCACCATGCCTGCCTGGCAATCCAAAAGTCCTGAGTTCGATCCCTGGTATTGAAAACAAAAAAAGAATCTTACGGATCTGGTTGGGCATGGTGGTTCCCACCTGTAACCCCAGCACTTGGGAAGATGAGACAGGATTGCCATGAGTGAGTTCGAGGCCAGCCCAGAATACATAGTGAGACCCTGTCTCAAACAAAAAAAGAATCTATAGATGTATAGTGTTGTTAGCCATGGGAGCACCTTCCATCATTTCTGTAACAATCCATTGGTTACACAAGTCTGCCTTATTCAGCGTGAGAGGGGACTGCTCAATGGTGTGAGTCCAGGAGGTGTTGCTGGGGACTGTCACATTGGTGTGGCAAGCCAAGGGACAAGGTGGGTGGAGCCTGCCACACATTCACTTATTCATCATTTACTGTTCACCTGAGGCATGCCAGACCCGAGGAAGTGATGGGGAGTCACAGCCCTTGTCCTTATTTGGACAGGCCGACCAACAGCAGTGCTGCAGAGGGTGGTGGTTACGGCCAGAAGAACTGGGTTTAGCATTCAGAGGCTCTAGGTGTGTCTCCCTGAGGCTCATCTTTCTCATCTGTAAAATGGGTGTTCATTCATTTATGAACTATGCATTGTGTCCCAATAGTGTTAGTCACTGGGAAAAGCAATGAGCAAAACAGAAGTAGGGGGGCAGGGCGTTTAGCTCAGTGGTTCTGGTGCCTGCCTCCCATCCCGTTACAAAACAAAACAAAAGGAAAAACAGAAGGGGGCCTGGTCTTCATGGAGATATACTTATCAGAGAGAGGACACAGCTGGATAGCATTCCACAGAACAACTGGCCTGTTTTTCTTCATTAATCCAATGCCAGGGTGGGAAGAAGTGGTGGGAGAAAATTCTAGATTTTAAAAGCTGCAGGAGCCCAAACAACTAAATGCAATGCCTGAAGGGATCTTATTTGTTTCTTAACTTAGTTGAGCCCATTCTAAATCTGGGCTGGAAAGGTGACCCAAATCAGGATTTATATCATTTGTATTAGATGTGATAATGGAATTGTGATAGTGAATAAAGACCTACCCTTCTTTCATAGATAATTACTCAGATTTTTATGAGTGAAATGTCATGATTTCTATAATTTAAAACAATTAGGGGCCGGGGATTTAGCTCAGTGGTTTGGCCGCCTGCTGTGCAAGCGCAAGGACCCAAGTTCAATCCCTGGTACCAAAAAAAAAAAACCAAAAAAAAACCTCTCGAAAATAATTGATCCCACTGGGTGTGGCAGCGCGCACCTGTAATCCCAGCACTTGAGAGACTGAGGCTGGAGGATCACTGCGAGTTGGAGGCCAACCTGGTCTACATAGTGACTTCAAGGCCAGCCTGAACTATATAGCGAGACCCTGTCTCAAAAAAACAAATGGCCAGCTGTGGTGGTGCATGCCTCTAGTCCCAGCACTCAGGAGACTCACCATGAGTTCGAGGCCAGCCTGAACTACACAGGAAGACTTTGTTTTTTAAAAAAATCCATTAGCCAGGGATTTAGCTCAGTGGTGCTGCCCCTACCTTGCAAGTGCAAGGTCCTGAGTTCGATCCCCAGTATCAAAAAAAAGAATCCATTAAGAAATGAGACAAGAGCTGGGGATTTAGCTCAGTGGTTCCTGTGACTGCTGCACAAGTGCAAGGTCCCAAGTTCGATCCCTGGTACCCCCCCTAAAAAAAGAGAGACAAATATGGCAATATTAATAAATAATTATTAAATCTAGGTGGTAGCTATATGGGGGTTAATTATTTTAGTCTGTCTACTTTTCTATACATTTTCAATTTTTCCAAATAAAAATTTTTTTATGGTTGTTGTTGTTTTTGTTTTTTCTTTTTTTTTTTTGATACTGGGGATCAAACTCGGGACCTTGCACTTGTGAGGCAGGTGGCAGCACCACTGAGCTAAATTCCCAGCTCTATTGTTGTTGTTTAAAGTGATCCCGTACTCACTGCCTGCCTGCCTGCCTGCCTGCCTTCCTGCCTTCCTTCCTTCCTTCCCTCCTTCTATATGGGGCATTGAAACCCAGATCCTTCACACTTGTGAGCTACATCCCAAGCTCTCCCCTTCATTGAGTGGTTAATTTCCCCATATTGGGCTCAAATCACAATCCTCCTACCTCAGCTTTTCACAGTGCTGGCATTACAGGTACCTGCCACCATGCCCGATTCTCTTTCTATATTTTAAATTGTGATAGAAGTCACAGAACAAGCCAGATGTGGTGGCCTGTGTCTATAGTATCAGCTACTTGGGGGTGTGAGGCAGGAGAATCATGTGAGCAAAGAAGTTTAAGACCAGCCTGGGCAACTTATCAAGACCTTGTCTCAAAAAGAGAAAGAAAAGTCACAGAACATAAAATGACCCATTTTAAAGCAAGCAAATCAATGGCATTTACAATGTGTACAATCACCATCTCTATCTAGTTCCAAGATTTCCTAAAAGAAAACCCAGTACCCATTAATGGTCAATCCTATCCCCCCCGCCCCATCCTCTGGCAACCACGAGTCTACTTTCTGTCTCTGTGCATTTCCCTGTTCTGGATAGTTTATATAAATGGAATTATACAGTATGTGAACTTTTGTGTCTGGTTTCTTTCACTTAATATATCTTTGAAGTTCATTCATGTTGAAGCATCAATCAGAATTTAATTCCTTATACCCAAGAACAATGAAAATATGTCCATGCAAAAACTCACATATGAATGTTCAAAGCAACATTATTCATAACAGCCAAAATATGGAAACAGCCCAAGTGTCTCTCATCAGAGAAATTAATAAACAAAATGTGGGATATTCATATGATGAAATAGTATTCAGCCATGATATTCCTTGCTTTATAATATATAGTATGACTGAAGTACTGATGCACACTGCCACATGGATCAATGTTGAAGATAGTATGCTAAGTGAAAGAGGCCACATACTTTGTGATGTTATTTATATGAAAAAAACCAGAATAGGCAAATCCATAGAGGCAGAAATTTGATTAGTAGTTGCCAGGGGCTGGGGATTTGGGGGAAATGGGAGATATGGGACTTCTTTGAAAGGGATAAAATGCTCTAAAATTGATTGTGATGTTATATAAGTCTGTGAGTACTAAGTTACATACACACCCTCCATAAATACCTGTTGTATGTGTGTGAGTGTAGGGTGCATGGGGTCCATGCTCAGGCCTCTAGATTGCAATTGAGTTGGAGATAAAAGCTAATACTGTTTTTTGCTTTTGCTGCTGGGGAACTCACTTTGCAGCCCCCCCGCCCCCCGCCAATAATATCCATGAGGGCATCAGCCTTAACCCAAACTGGATCATTTTCCCTTTCCAGGACAACCTCACTGTCTTTGTTTCATTGAGCTATTATCTATATAACTTTGCAGGTATGAGATAATTGACTGGACTGTCTTTTCTTCCTTCTGGCCATTGATAGCTGGTCCCCAGTGATCTGGACACTCTGAAGAAAGAGGTGGCAGATTACCCCTACCCCTTTGGACCTTTTCTTCCTATTTTACATTTTCAATTATTCATTCTAATCATTGGTACATTTTAGGTATACATTATAATGACATTCATCATTGGAAATTTGCATCTTTCCATAGTCTCTCTTGGTTCTTATTTTTCACCCTTGCCCAGCCCTCCCTTCAACCCCTCCATTCCTCCCTATTTACAAAGATTTTGTTCCT